AATAAATTATCAATACGTTTAAATCAGCTCTCACCTCTATAAAAAGTGTTTTCAAGCTCTAAAAAGGCAGTGTTTTGGATGAGGATTTTCGTGCAAAAAAGCAAGGCTATAGCCTTACCAAAATACCCCATTTTTAACCAAGAATTTTTTCATCCAAAACTTGCCTCAATTCATTCTAAATAAAGCATAAAGACGTTTAAATCAGTTCTCGCCTCTATTAAAAGTGTTTTCATGCTCTAAAAAAGCAAGGTTTTGGATGAGGATTTTCGTGCAAAAAAGCAAGGCTATAGCCTTACCAAAATACCCCATTTTTGACCAAGAATTTTTTTATCCAAAACTTGCCTAAAACCACTCTAAATAAAGCATAAAGACGTTTAAATCAGTTCTCGCCTCTATTAAAAGTGTTTTCATGCTATAAAAAGGCAGTGTTTTGGATGAGTATTTTCCTGGAAAAAAGCAAGGCTATAGCCTTACCAAAATACCCCATTTTTGACCAAGAATTTTTTCATCCAAAACTTGCCTTAAACCACTCTAAATAAAGCATAAATACGTTTCAATCAGTTCTCGCCTCTATTAAAAGTGTTTTTATGCTCTAAAAAGGCAGTGTTTTGGTTAAGGGTTTTCATGCAAAAAAGCAAGGCTATAGCCTTACCAAAATACCCCATTTTTGACCAAGAATTTTTTTATCCAAAACTTGCCTAAAACCACTCTAAATAAAGCATAAAGACGTTTAAATCAGTTCTCGCCTCTATTAAAAGTGTTTTTATGCTCTAAAAAGGCAGTGTTTCGGTTAAGGATTTTTGTGCAAAAAAGCAAGGCTATAGCCTTACCAAAATACCCCATTTTTGACCAAGAATTTTTTTCTCCAAAACTTGCCTAAAACCACTCTAAATAAAGCATAAAGACGTTTAAATCAGTTCTCGCCTCTATTAAAAGTGTTTTTATGCTCTAAAAAGGCAGTGTTTTGGTTAAGCCTTTTTCGTGCAAAAAAGCAAGACTATAGCCTTACCAAAATACCCCATTTTTGATCAAGAATTTTTTGTATCCAAGACTTGCCTCAATCCACTGTAAATAAATTATCAATACGTTTAAATCAGCTCTCACCTCTATAAAAAGTGTTTTCAAGCTCTAAAAAGGCAGTGTTTTGGTTAAGAATTTTCGTGGAAAATAGCAAGGCTATAGCCTTACCAAAATACCCCGTTTTTGACCAAGAATTTTTTCATCAAAAATTTTCCTCAATCCACGCTAAATAAAGCATAATTACGTTTAAATCAGTTCTCGCCTTTATTAAAAGTGTTTTCATGCTCTAAAAAAGGCAGTGTTTTGGTTAAGCCTTTTTCGTGCAAAAAAGCAAGACTATAGCCTTACCAAAATACCCCATTTTTTTCCAGGAATTTTTTCATCTAAAACTTCCCTCAATTCATTCTAAATAAGGCATAAATACGTTTCAATCAGCTCTTGACTCTATTAAAAGTGTTTTCATGCTCTAAAAAAGGCAGTGTTTTGGTTAAGGATTTTCGTGCAAAAAAGCAAGGCTATAGCCTTACCAAAATACCCCATTTTTAACCAAGAATTTTTTTATCCAAAACTTGCCTCCATTCATTCTAAATAAAGCATTAATACCTTTCAATCACTTCTTGACTCTATTAAAAGTGTTTTCATGCTCTAAAAAAGCAAGGTTTTGGATGAGGATTTTCGTGCAAAAAAGCAAGGCTATAGCCTTACCAAAATACCCCATTTTTAACCAAGAATTTTTTCATCCAAAACCTACCTCAATCCACTCAAAATATAGCATAAATACTTTTCAATCACTTCTTGACTCTATTAAAAGTGTTTTCATGCTCTAAAAAAGCAAGGTTTTGGATGAGGATTTTTGTGCAAAAAAGCAAGGCTATAGCCTTACCAAAATACCCCATTTTTGACCAACAATTTTTTCATCCAAAACTTGCCTCAATCCACTCAAAATATAGCATAAATACTTTTCAATCACTTCTTGACTCTATTTAAAGTGTTTTTATGCTCTAAAAAGGCAGTGTTTTGGTTAAGGGTTTTCATGCAAAAAAGCAAGGCTATAGCCTTACCAAAATACCCCATTTTTTACCAAGAATTTTTTTATCCAAAACTTGCCTAAAACCACTCTAAAAAAAGCATAAAGACGTTTAAATCAGTTCTCGCCTCTATTAAAAGTGTTTTTATGCTCTAAAAAGGCAGTGTTTCGGTTAAGGATTTTTGTGCAAAAAAGCAAGGCTATAGCCTTACCAAAATACCCCATTTTTGACCAAGAATTTTTTTCTCCAAAACTTGCCTAAAACCACTCTAAATAAAGCATAAAGACGTTTAAATCAGTTCTCGCCTCTATTAAAAGTGTTTTTATGCTCTAAAAAGGCAGTGTTTTGGTTAAGCCTTTTTCGTGCAAAAAAGCAAGACTATAGCCTTACCAAAATACCCCATTTTTGATCAAGAATTTTTTGTATCCAAGACTTGCCTCAATCCACTGTAAATAAATTATCAATACGTTTAAATCAGCTCTCACCTCTATAAAAAGTGTTTTCAAGCTCTAAAAAGGCAGTGTTTTGGTTAAGAATTTTCGTGGAAAATAGCAAGGCTATAGCCTTACCAAAATACCCCATTTTTGACCAAGAATTTTTTTATCCAAAACTTGCCTAAAACCACTCTAAAAAAAGCATAAAGACGTTTAAATCAGTTCTCGCCTCTATTAAAAGTGTTTTCCTGCTCTAAAAAGGCAGTGTTTCGGTTAAGGATTTTTGTGCAAAAAAGCAAGGCTATAGCCTTACCAAAATACCCCATTTTTGACCAAGAATTTTTTTCTCCAAAACTTGCCTAAAACCACTCTAAATAAAGCATAAAGACGTTTAAATCAGTTCTCGCCTCTATTAAAAGTGTTTTTATGCTCTAAAAAGGCAGTGTTTTGGTTAAGCCTTTTTCGTGCAAAAAAGCAAGACTATAGCCTTACCAAAATACCCCATTTTTGATCAAGAATTTTTTGTATCCAAGACTTGCCTCAATCCACTGTAAATAAATTATCAATACGTTTAAATCAGCTCTCACCTCTATAAAAAGTGTTTTCAAGCTCTAAAAAGGCAGTGTTTTGGTTAAGAATTTTCGTGGAAAATAGCAAGGCTATAGCCTTACCAAAATACCCCGTTTTTGACCAAGAATTTTTTCATCAAAAATTTTCCTCAATCCACGCTAAATAAAGCATAATTACGTTTAAATCAGTTCTCGCCTTTATTAAAAGTGTTTTCATGCTCTAAAAAAGGCAGTGTTTTGGTTAAGCCTTTTTCGTGCAAAAAAGCAAGACTATAGCCTTACCAAAATACCCCATTTTTTTCCAGGAATTTTTTCATCTAAAACTTCCCTCAATTCATTCTAAATAAGGCATAAATACGTTTCAATCAGCTCTTGACTCTATTAAAAGTGTTTTCATGCTCTAAAAAAGGCAGTGTTTTGGTTAAGGATTTTCGTGCAAAAAAGCAAGGCTATAGCCATAACAAAATACCCCATTTTTAACCAAGAATTTTTTCATCCAAAACTTGCCTCAATCCACTCAAAATATAGCATAAATACGTTTCAATCAGCTCTTGACTCTATTAAAAGTGTTTTCATGCTTTAAAAAAGCAAGGTTTTGGATGAGGATTTTCGTGCAAAAAAGCAAGGCTATAGCCTTACCAAAATACCCCATTTTTAACCAAGAATTCTTTCATCCAAAACTTGCCTCAATTCATTCTAAATAAAGCATAAATACGTTTCAATCAGCTCTTGACTCTATTAAAAGTGTTTTCATGCTCTAAAAAAGGCAGTGTTTTGGTTAAGGATTTTCGTGCATAATGCAAGGCTATAGCCTTACCAAAATACCCCATTTTTAACCAAGAATTTTTTCATCCAAAACTTGCCTCAATCCACTCAAAATATAGCATAAATACTTTTCAATCACTTCTTGACTCTATTAAAAGTGTTTTCATGCTCTAAAAAAGCAAGGTTTTGGATGAGGATTTTCGTGCAAAAAAGCAAGGCTATAGCCTTACCAAAATACCCCATTTTTAACCAAGAATTTTTTCATCCAAAACTTGCCTCAATTCATTCTAAATAAAGCATTAATACCTTTCAATCACTTCTTGACTCTATTAAAAGTGTTTTCATGCTCTAAAAAAGCAAGGTTTTGGATGAGGATTTTCGTGCAAAAAAGCAAGGCTATAGCCTTACCAAAATACCCCATTTTTAACCAAGAATTTTTTCATCCAAAACTTGCCTCAATTCATTCTAAATAAAACATAAATACGTTTCAATCAGCTCTTGACTCTATTAAAAGTGTTTTCTTGCTCTAAAAAGGCAGTGATTTGGTAAAGGATTTTGTGAAAAAAACAAGGCTATAGCCTTACCAAAATACCCCATTTTTAACCAAGAATTTTTTCATCCAAAACTTGCCTCAATCCACTCTAACTATAGCATAAATACGTTTCAATCACCTCTTGACTCTATTTAAAGTGTTTTCTTGCTCTAAAAAGGCAGTGATTTGGTAAAGGATTTCGTGCAAAAAAGCAAGGCTATAGCCTTACCAAAATACCCCATTTTTGACCAACAATTTTTTTATCCAAAATTTGCCTCAATCCACTCTTGATAAAGCATAAATACGTTTCAGTTAGCTCTCGTCTCTACTAAAAGTGTTTACATGCTCTAAATATGCAGTGTTTTGCCTCTAGATTTTCGTTCAAAAAAGCAAGGCTATAGCCTTACCAAAATACCCCATTTTTGACCAAGAATTTTTTCATCTAAAACTTCCCTCAATCCACTCAAAATATAGCATAAATACTTTTCAATCACTTCTTGACTCTATTTAAAGTGTTTTCATGCTCTAAAAAAGCAAGGTTTTGGATGAGGATTTTCGTGCAAAAAAGCAAGGCTATAGCCTTACCAAAATACCCCATTTTTAACCAAGAATTTTTTCATCCAAAACCTGCCTCAATCCACTCAAAATATAGCATAAATACTTTTCAATCACTTCTTGACTCTATTTAAAGTGTTTTCATGCTCTAAAAAAGCAAGGTTTTGGATGAGGATTTTCTTGCAAAAAAACAAGGCTATAGCCTTACCAAAATACCCCATTTTTAACCAAGAATTTTTTCATCCAAAACTTGCCTCAATTCATTCTAAATAAAACATTAATACGTTTCAATCAGCTCTTGACTCTATTAAAAGTGTTTTCATGCTCTAAAAAAGCAAGGTTTTGGATGAGGATTTTCGTGCAAAAAGCAAGGCTATAGCCTTACCAAAATACCCCATTTTTAACCAAGAATTTTTTCATCCAAAACTTGCCTCAATCCACTCTAACAATAGCATAAATACGTTTCAATCACCTCTTGACTCTATTTAAAGTGTTTTTATGCTCTAAATAGACAGTGTTTTGGTTAAGGAATTTCGTGCAAAATGACAAGCCATCGTAGAAAAAAGGATTATAAAAGACATTGATAGGAAATGGGTGATCTCACAAGAAGCTCATTTTTTAAAATCAATCCGACTTATTTTCACTGTTTTTTATATCGTATTGAATAGATTGAATGTTTTTTGGTCGAAAAAATATACCATCAAATACAAAAATTTGTACTGTAAACAAATAGACCAGTAGAAAGCATAGACAATGCCTGATGAAGTAGCTACTTAGAACCGTCCTGTTCTATACACCAAATAGCGTGTACAGTTCTGTCTATACGCCATCAAACACTTTGTGACAGACCGGTAAACTGTAATTTTCATTAGTCAATATGCTTTAGACAGAAGTAGTCTAGTAAGAAGCAAGCAAAATGCCTGATGATCGCATTAAGCTTGAAACTCGAAGTAGCAACTTAGAACCGCCCTGTTCTATACACCAAATAGCGTGTACAGTTCTGCCTATACGCCATCAAACACTTTGTGACAGACCGGTAAACTGTAATTTTCATTAGTCAATATGCTTTAGACAGAAGTAGTCTAGTAAGAAGCATACAAAATGCCTGATGATGGCATTAAGCGTGAAACGCTGAGTAGCAACTTAGAACCGTCCTGTTCTATACACCAAATAGCGTGTACAGTTCTGTCTATACGCCATCAAACACTTTGTGACAGACCGGTAAACTGTAATTTTCATTAGTCAATATGCTTTAGACAGAAGTAGTCTAGTAAGAAGCAAGCAAAATGCCTGATGATCGCATTAAGCTTGAAACTCGAAGTAGCAACTTAGAACCGCCCTGTTCTATACACCAAATAGCGTGTACAGTTCTGCCTATACGCCATCAAACACTTTGTGACAGACCGGTAAACTGTAATTTTCATTAGTCAATATGCTTTAGACAGAAGTAGTCTAGTAAAAAGCATACAAAATGCCTGATGATGGCATTAAGCGTGAAACGCTGAGTAGCAACTTAGAACCGTCCTGTTCTATACACCAAATAGCGTGTACAGTTCTGTCTATACGCCATCAAACACTTTGTGACAGACCGGTAAACTGTAATTTTCATTAGTCAATATGCTTTAGACAGAAGTAGTCTAGTAAGAAGCAAGCAAAATGCCTGATGATCGCATTAAGCTTGAAACTCGAAGTAGCAACTTAGAACCGCCCTGTTCTATACACCAAATAGCGTGTACAGTTCTGCCTATACGCCATCAAACACTTTGTGACAGACCGGTAAACTGTAATTTTCATTAGTCAATATGCTTTAGACAGAAGTAGTCTAGTAAGAAGCAAGCAAAATGCCTGATGATCGCATTAAGCTTGAAACTCGAAGTAGCAACTTAGAACCGCCCTGTTCTATACACCAAATAGCGTGTACAGTTCTGCCTATAGGGCATCAAACACTTTGTGACAGACCGGTTGTAAGTAATTTTCACTAGTTAGGATACATAACAAATTTAGATACATATGAGTTAGATGTAGTTTTCTCATTTATAAAAACTTCAATCTTGCAAAGAGGAGAATTCGACTTGGTTCTGTAGTGTGTGGATTGATCTTCGAACACATAGCTTTTATTTAATTAAGCAGGACTCAAAGTCCAACATAGTCAAACAGACGCTCAATTCAATTGTCCTTTTTTCCATGTCTTCAGCAAAGAGAGTTATCCAGTTTCATTCGCTCGGTAATCTCATGTTACATATCAAATAAAAAAAAATCAAAACGTCATTAATCCATCCACATGACTGTCGCATCCTTGCCTCAAATTTCTCTAACACATTTACAGTTAGTTCTCAGAAATAGAAAATAGACTAAAAGGGAAATATCTTTGGACATCCGTTCGAAAGTCCGCCCTGAAAGTTTTTTTTCTTACTCTGTATGATGGTCTTTAGCGGCGGTGCTAAGCACCGAGGGGCTAGCAGGGGCTATAGCCCCCACCCCCTTTTGTATTAGTAGATAAGAAACCTTTTCGGAAATTTTACCCTCACCGATCCTTATCAATTGCAGTTCTTCATGACTGGGAATCCATTTTTTCATTTTCTAGGTGTTTCACTGCATTCTGTCTTCCATTCCCGCCTCTCTACTGAACTGATTCCGCTTTTTTTCTATTCTCTTTTTTTATAAGAACCAGATAATTTTTGCCAAGCCTCGATGTTCTTGACTTTTTGATAATTTTAGGCTCAGATGTTCTTAAAATTGTTCTTATTTCAAGAGTGATTCATTTGCAAATATTTGAGAAGTTACATGTTGTATATCGTTTCTAAGACGTTAAACTGGGTAAAGTTTAAAAATGAATCCATGACTGCTAGTGTTTGTGGACAAACTCATCAAAGTTGTGTCTAGAGAACCTCGGTACAGTAGTTGAGTTCTTGTGAAAATTTTCGTTAAGGAAGTCGCAATTTTATGTAATCCCCGTTAAAGCTAGCCTGCGCGCAGACCCAGTATTTTGAGAAGGGATACTGGATCTGCGTGCAAGCTACGTTGAAATCTGATAACAGTGACAACCAGTGTTGGAGCCAGGGGGGAATGGGGGGGACAGGGGGGAAAGTTGCTCCTTGAGATTCTTGCAAACCTGATGAGAAAACTTCAGGGGGGGGGGGTATGCACGTTATCTAGATCGTCACATGTAAATGGGAGACAACAGGCGTTTCCTCCGGAAGAAAAAGTTTCAAACATGGGGAAAGGGCGTGGTCCAAAAGGGCGTTGTCCCTGACACAACTTTTGTCTCCCCCCCCCCCCACTTATCCCAGGCTGGAGCCGCCACTGGTGACAACAACTTGTTTAAATCAATCTGAAGCTGAACATGTTCTAGCCCTGTTCTTATTTTTTGGGCAAATCGAGCCTCAGTGTTCTTATAAAGTCTGTTCTTATAAAAAGAGTGTACCTTTAAAGAGTAATCCCGCCTCTCTGATTATCCCGCAGGCGGGTTTGATGTGAGAATAGGAAGACGTTGATGTCGATTTTACGATGAAACCATCGTAGAAGAAGTAGAACACGACACTAGAATAAGAAACACGATAATACGTGTAAACATTCGGTTGATCGGTTTCTTATATTGTTCAGTTGATATTTAGGGGTTTTTAAAGATACGGCTATGATACCTTTTAAATTGATATCTTTGTAATCCTGAAAAGTAAACTACTTCCTTTGTTTATTCTTGTGTTGAAAATTAATCCCGCCTCTCTTATAATCCCACCTCTCTAATAATCCCATATCAAATTAGGAGGTTCAATCAATCAACCTGCCAGGGGCGAAAATACCGGGGGGGGTGTGGGGGGGTGTGACACCCCCCCCCCCCCAAAAAATAGGCGATTTCGCAGGGCAATCGAAGATTTCGCAGGGCGCCAAGAAGAGCTTTATTGCCACGCAGAAACGCCACCTCTGAAGTTCGTAAAGGGCCGTTTAGGAATTTTGAAATGGAAATATCGTATTTTTTATGAACCTCCCTTCCTGACATTGCATTTTAGAGAACTGAACAGGTATGTAAGGAAAAGCTCCGTTATTTGCAAAGCGAAAGCATTTCTTACCGAAAGTCATAGCCAATGGATGCAATGATGGATGCATATGTTTATGAGGGCAAGATTGAGTCCATGCAAATTAATTTAAGTTGTAAATTATTTTCATGACAGGTACGGCGCCACTGGGGGGAATAGAGAGTTGAAAGCCCCCAATTTGGTCAAGAAAAGAATTTTTTATCATTTAATATATTACTTTTCAACAGTGCATGAACTAAAAAACATAATAAATCATTGAGATACCAATTTTGTTTCATCTAATTGCTAACTTTTTTACGTGTATTTTTATCCTTTTTTGTTTATTTGCATTAATTCAGTAAATCTTTTTCTGTATCATTGCAATGTTTTAATTTTGGATGTGTAAACATGGCCTTCTCGATACAAGAAACTGCACATTTCTGTTCAGGAAAAAAAATTCCCCAAGTCAAAACAACATCTTCCTCTGTCATTCACAACTATGT